AGATGCCCAAGACGGCCCAATATCGTTCCAAGATGGCCCACTGTGGCCTCAAAACGGCCCACGATGGCTTCAAGACAGCCCACGAGGCCTTCGAGGCGCCCCAAGAGTGCCCAAAGAGCCTCACCAAGAGGGCCTCGAAAGACACGACCAGTGATTTTCCGTCGTTTCAGTGTTTCTCGGGTTATCGTCTTTTCGAGCTTCCGACGTCCCAAGTCGACCCAAGAGGCCACCAGGACTGCACCAAGACGCCCCAGGAGGGCCTCAAGATGGCCCGAGAGGACTCCACGACGGCTCAAGAGGCGCCCAGGAATGCCCAAAAGAGCCCCAAGACGGCCCCAAGAAGAGCCCAAAACAGGGACCACGAACCGACAATTCGAGCCTTCCGCCCCGAGAGGGCTCAAGTGGCCCAAACAGAGCCAAAAGCGGCCCCCAAGAGGGCCCCGAGAGGCAAAAAGCACTGATGTCCCATAGCTTGTCACATGTGGTTTGGGTTCTCGCCTCTTCCAGCTCCCCGCGCTAACAAGAGGGCCCAAGAGGCCCCCAAGACTTATGGTGTTTCCGTCGCGCTTAGGAACCACATCCCATAAATAATCTCGAGCACCTAGAAAAGTGTCAAACCGGTGTCGGCCAGAGACGGTCGCGAAGTGTCGAATGAGTGCCGCCTCCAAGGGCCCGACACGCGAAAACCATCCAGTTTCGGTACATTCATGGCGCTCGAAATTATTTCTGGTGCTCAAAGCAAAAGTAGGTTGGAACATCATAACCCAAGACTCCCCTGAGACGACTCAAGAGACAACTAGGCGAACTCCAGGACGACCCAACAGGGCTCCAAGACGGCCCAAGAGGCGCCCCCCCTGCTCTTCCTCCTCCTCCTCCTCCTCCTCCTCCCCCTCCCCCTCCCCCTCCCCCTCCCCCTCCCCCTCCCCCCCCCTCCCCCTCCCCCCTCCCCCTCCCCCTCCCCCTCCCCCTCCCCCTCCCCCTCCCCCTCCCCCTCCCCCTCCCCCTCCCCCTCCCCCACCCCCTCCCCCTCCCCTCCCCCCTACCCCCTCCCCCCTCCCCCCTCCCCCTCCCCCCTCCCCCCCCCTCCCCCTCCCCCTCCCCCTCCCCCTCCCCTCACCCCCTCCCCCTCCCCCCTCCCCCTCCCCCTCCCCCTCCCCTCCCCCCCCCCCCCTCCCCCTCCCTCCCCCTCCCCCTCCCCCTCCCCCTCCCCCTCTCCCCTCCTCCTCCTCCCTCCTCCTCCTCCTCCTCCTCCTCCTCCTCCTCCTCCTCCTCCTCCTCTCCGCCTCCGCCGCCTCCTACTCCTCCTCCTCCTCCTCCTCCTCCTCCCTCCTCCTCCTCCTCCTCCTCCTCCTCCTCCTCCTCCTCCTCCTCCTCCTCCTCCTCCTCATCTGAAAGACTGCCCAAGGGCCCCAAGACGGCCCCAAGAAGGGCCCAGGGATGGGACCACGAACCAAGCAACACCGCACGGTCCTCGGTCATGGGTGGGGTTATCGGGCCACCATCGGTGCTGAATGGGCGATTGAGGGGGAGGAGGAGGAGGAGGAGGAGGAGGAGGAGGAGGAGGAGGAGGAGCAGGAGGAGGAGGAGGAGGAGGACGAGGAGGAGGACGAGGAGGAGGAGGAGGAGGAGGAGGAGGAGGAGCAGGAGGATCACTGACCAAACTGCCAGGTCTGCTCGGGTTGCACCCCAACTCGCAGCCTGTTAGAGGAGGTTGCTAGCGAGGGCTTGCCCTGGCTAGTAGCCCCCACAGAATCGGTACGAATTGGCTGCCTGGGTGAGGGGTAGCACGGAAGGCCACGATGCTGCTGGCGGCAGGCTTTGCGCGTACAGTGGGCTCTACCTAGAGGGCCCTCCCATGTCAGCCTGCCCTGCGGCATAGCGGCCTGGCGGTGTCTTGCCCCGTGGTGGCCCCGGGTGGCAAAAATGAGGCTGCGCGGTGGGTCGAATTGGCTGCCCGGGTTAGGGATAGCACCTGCTCATCCAGGACCAGAGCTTTATCGGGGACTGCAAGACCGTCCTAGAGAATCTGGATTCTATGAAGCAGCTCCAAAACAAGAGCGACGAGAGCAAGCTGGTGCCCATCGGTCCCGGCATGGAGCCGCCGATGGAGGAGCTCATGCTGCGAGTGTCCCAGCTTGAGAGGCTCGCGGGCCACCATGAGAAGGTCAACGACATGCTGCACAAGTACGGACCCATGCAGATCCATGACGAAGTGAAAATGCTTACGGCCGCCGCCAAGACAGACCTCGACCAGGTCGACCGCTAGCTGGTGGAGCAGATGAACGTGTACAAGGCCGACCTTGGCAAAATCAACCGCCCCAACATGGAGCAGCTTCTCGAGCAAGTCCGTGCCGACCCGAAGTTGCAGACGACCGACTCGGCCCATAGCGAGTTGAAGGAGCAAATGGCCGCACATAAAGCAGATCTTGGCAATATCAATAGCTCCATCCTGGGGCAGCTTCTTGAGCAGGTCCAAAGCGACCTGAAGTTGCAACCATCTAAGACAGACCTCGACTCGGTATACGGCGAGCTGAGGGAGCAGATGGCCGCAAGCAAAACAGATCTTGACAATATCAACAGCTTCACGACTGTGCAGCTGAGCGGCAAGGCGCCCATCGAATATCTCGAGCTGATCCGCGAAGAGATGATGATGCAGAAGGCCGCCAACAAGACAGACACTGACCAGGTCATCTGCTGCCTGAACGAGCAGAAGGCCGAGCTGTCGGCAGATCTTGACAAGATCAACTGCCGAACGGAGGAGTTCGAAGTCAAGCTCGGCACCGAGCTCGCCGAGCTCAAGAGAGCTCCACGCCGGACACCATCCACCCGCTGGTCTCGTCCTGCCTCCCAGGCAAGGGCGTCGAGGCTTGAGGGGGCCCGAGTCGGGCCTGCACGCGCCGCATGGGGCGCGGCCCTCTCTCGGCCTGGCCGGTGTTGACGGCCGCGTCGCCTTCGGGCACGTCGCTGCGCGGCCCCCGCTTGTCGGGTGAACCATGGCGGATGGCTCGGTGTCCTCCCACCCTCAGCCGTGCCGTGCGCGGCGCGCGAGGGACTGCCGGACTGCCGCTGGGACGGTCAGGGGCGTGCATCGGGGCGCCTTCGGGCATGCCTCGAGAGCTGCTCCTGCATCGGCAGGTGAGCTGCAGCAGCTCACCCCTCCTGCATCGGCAGGTGAGGAGGAGGAGGAGGAGGAGGAGGAGGAGGAGGAGGAGGAGGAAGGGTAGGAGGGGGAGGAAGGGTAGGAGAAGGAGGAGGAGGAGGAGGAGGAGGAGGAGGTGCATCGCCACTGAGCCTATCACCACCCTAACGTGGCCCCAGAAGGAAGCACTGCGCCCCTCCCCCCTTGGACGCCGGCGACCTTCCAGGGACAGGCACGGGGGCACCCGTCGCTCGGAGGAAGCGGGCAGAAGCACGAAGCAGGAAGGCACTGAAAGAAGATGGGGCGTCGGCCAGCCCACCGGGGGGGAGAGGGCAGGCCGCGCGACTCTGCAGATAGGAGGGCTCCCAAAGCAGACTGGAACCCCAGAATCCCAACCTGCCTACTTTCACCGAGCGATGGGTATGGTGTGCCCATCCCCCCTGACACGGGTGAGTGGGAACGTTAGGGGGGACTGGCTCAGGGGGGGGGGGGGGGGGGGGGAAACGTCGAGCCTAACTCGGCGACACGTAGTCGATAGATCGGCGGTAGGCCCCCGGTAGCAAATCCCCACGTTCCAGGTGGGATGGGGCCATCGGGCCCCCATCGGCGATGAATGGGCGATTGGGGATCGATATGTTCCCCCCTGAGCCTATCCCACCCTAAAGTTGCCCTTGAAATGGGGTGAATTGGCCTTCTGCCGTTGGGCACGCCGAGCATATGGGACTGGAGGATAGCGCCACATCGCCGATGCATCGGAGAAGTCGACGATGCATCGGCGACGTCGGCGTGGAGAAAATCTGGATCCGCATAGAGCCACGTCGCCGATGCATCGGCGATGCGGCGCCGTCAGCCGACCCCATCTACTCTGACCCCATCTGGAATGCCTGGAGTTGAGCAGAGGGGGGCCATAGTCAACCCTCCTCCTCCACAGCAGCGATCACTAGCCGCTCCACCTCGACCAGTGGTGACTGGGGGAGCTGTGTGCCTGAGCCTTCCAAGGGACCCAATCGTATCGACAATCTCTCGGGCAGGGCTCGACCAAAGCAATGCGTGTCGGTTTCGTGTTGTTTCCATTTTCCCTCGGTGTGTCTTCGTTCCTCCTTCGCTGCGAAGCGATGTCACATCGAAAACGGTCCACGAGATCGCCAAACATCGCTGGGGTCGAGACCCTGCTCGCTCTCGAGGGGTGCCGAAATCGACGGATCCCCCAGGGGAGTACGGACCACAGCTCCCCCAGCCGTGGCTGGCCCGCCACCCAACCCTCCCCCGCGCCCGCGCGCCCCTCCCGTGCCGCCCCCCGTCCCCTCGCCGCGGTGGCGAGCGTGCGCGGCAGCGCTGCTGAGCACACCGCCCTCCCGAAGCGGTGCGGTGACGGACCCTGCGGTGACCTCGAAACCCCGACGGGCCTCGCCGCAGGGTCCGCCACCGCACGGCCTCCTGGGACCTCGGGGGCCCCGGTCGCCCGAGACCTCCTCGGAGAGCGGCCCGGGTCCCACAGCCGTGCGGTCGCCCCGCATCCGCACGAGGCCGCACCGACTTCTCAAGCGGCGTGGTCACCGCACCGTCTGGCGGGGCCCTCAAGCATACCCGTCCCTGGGAGGCACCGTGCGCCCCAGGGAGGGATGGCGGGCCTGTTTCCCACCACCACCACCACCACCACCACCATAAGTTGGAGTGGGAAAGGTTGTGGAGGAGCAGGAGGAGGAGGAGGAGGACCCCCTCCCCCTCCAACTTATGGTGGTGGTGGTGGAAAACAAGCCCATCCAGGGAGGGTCCGTGCCTCGGCTCCTCCGCGGGGCAGGCCGTTTGCCGACGGGGGCAGAGCGTCTCCCACGCAGGCAGCGGATCACGACGGGCTGCCTTTTGCGCGCGACGCCACCTGCCGATATATAATCAGCACGCTCTCATGGTCTACGGCCGGCCTTGCGAGCCCCGATCCAAATCCTCGAAGTCGCGCGTGCTTGGATGCGTGGTCCCGGGGCCTCTCGAACCCTTCCCGGTGACCGGCAAGGTCGTGTTCGATCGATCGGGGCAGAGGGCCTCATGGTGGAAGTATGCCCACACAGAAAGAGGGCACGCAACGTCGAGGATCTATGGACCAGCATAGCGCAGAGATCGAGACCAGAAAGCCGTCGCGATAAAAAAAAGCCTCACCGAATGCCTATGGGGGGAGGATGCCGTGGGAGGATCTCGTCGGATGGACGTCAGCGGGGGGCAACAAACCAGGGGGCGAGGGGAGCATGCCAAAGCTGTCCGAAGGTGTCACACAAGGGAAAGAGAGGGGCGAGGCATCAGGGAGGGAGACGAAGGGAGGAAGCCCCCCTCCCTCTCTCCCACTCTCTCTCTCTCTTCCTCTTACCCTCTCTTACGCCACCTTCCCTCCTACCCCGTCTACTCTCTCTCTCTATCGTTTGTCTCTCTCGCTCTCTCTCTCTCTCTCTCTCTCTTACGCGCCTTACGCCACTGGTTTCCCCTAGGATCCATATCCCCACAACCAGCTGTTCGGGAGTGCTCAACAGGGAGGGGGAAAGAAAGAGGGTGCCCCATACGCGCCCAAAACAGATCAGAGAGGTGGACCCTTGGGCCCCGCCCGTAAAATGCCTCCCGTGTCCGTCCATCCGGCTTCGACCAAAGTCCTGCGCTGCCGCGACAGGGATTAATTATCGGGCAGGAAAGCTGCTCAGCCACGCAAGCTGTGTGCGAACTCGGGGTCAAAAACACGCACCGCCGGTCCACAGCGGGATCGCTGTGCCGCTGCGCAATAAAGCTCCCGACAACAGTTCAAACGGCACGGTTGCGCGGCAAGAACTCGAGCAGTAACAAGCTCACAGCCCGAAGCACCTCCGCCAACGGGGAGTGACAGGGAGCTGACATCCCACCGTTTCTCCGACATAATTCTCGCACTAGTATTGAGACTAATTCTGGCAAGTTGTTGGAGGTTGGGGGTGAGATCGCAGTGGAACGGAGAGCCCCCCTCTGGGAAATCGAGTTCGGTTTCGTGTTCGTGCCTTGCGTGTGGGCGAGGCGAAGCCGCGCGCGCGCGAGAGGAATGACCCCGCCGTCACCAGGGCGATTCGTATGCAGCAGACCGCCCCTCCGCCCCCGGTGGACGCGCGGTGGCCAGGGGTGTCCCGCCGTGGTGTCCTGTGGTGTCCCGTTGGTGTCCTGTCGGTGTTCCGCCGGTGGTGGGCGGGCGGTGGCCAGGGATGTCCCGCCTAGGTACCGATAGTGAAGTCGATAGTGAGATCGATAATGAGATCTCTAGAATGGGATGGACAGTGAGATCAAAAGCGAGATGGACAATGAGGTTGACTGTGACATTGGTTGTGTTCGCGCTATCGGATGATGCGGCGGGAACCAACGTCCCCTGGGTAGTGCAGATCTCGCGGGGACCGGATCTCCCTTGGGGCGAGCTCAATGGGATCGATGGCTGAATCCATTGGTACTAAGACTGGCCGTGACGTCGATAGTGGGATCGATCGAGTGAGGTCGAGGCGGGGAGGACAGTGATATTACATCGCAGCGCAACATCGTCATCACGCGTCGTCACGAATTCGAGGGCACGACACCAGCATCGTCATTATCACGCCCATCGCATGTGCCAGCAGTTGGTTCTCTCCCCCCCGCCCCCAAACCTCCGTATCGCCCGAAGGGTGGTCGTATAGGTGTGTATATATGTGTATATATATACACAACATGCTCATATTTCTGCAAGCCAAATCTTGATGCACAGCAGCAACTATTATGCATTACAATATATGGATTGTGGCTAGCTTCGCTCGGCGAGCCACCAACAAACTGACACACTGCAGTCAACGTAATACCGATCACCACGGTGTGTATATATAGAGATATGCTTATACACATGTAGATATAATAATTCTGCCGCATCTCCCGCTCCTCGCCTCCTCCTCCTCCTCCTCCTCCTTCTCCTCTTCATTCTCCATACGTTTCGCCTCCTTCACTCTCTCCCTCTCCCAGCTCCTCAATACCGCCCCCCTCTGCTCCTCGATCCGTCCTTCCACCTGCTGGGTCTCTCATCCGATTCCCCCTCCTCCCCACCTCCTGGTTCTCCTGCTCCCCAACCCTCCTCATCCTCCCACTGCTGGTCCTCCTCATCAGGCGGCGAGCCACGGGGAGGAAGTGAGAAGGGGCGCGCCTCCTCAGAAGGCTCAGAAGTCACCCCGACTTCTGAGAAGTCTTCTGAGCCTTCCCCGAAGACAGAAAAGACCTCCCAGGAGGCGCGAGGGCTCCTGAGAAAAGTCCCGCCGCCTTCTGAGAAGGCCCTCTCCTCCTCGGCTCCCCCCCCATCGCTCGCCGCCGACTCCTTCCTCCACCTCCTCCGCCCGCTCGCACGCCCCCTCCACACAGCCGGTGCTGCGATCGGCCGCCTCCCCACACCGCTGGGGGTGCCCCCCACCCAAAGCAGCGTCCGAGGCGCAGCGCCACGAGCGCGCGCCGCGGAGGCCGCCCATGCTCCACCCCACATGCCGACTGGGCGGCAAGAGACGGCGCGGCTGGTCCGACGACGCTCGAAGCCGGCCCAAGAGGGCCCCAGGACGGCCCCCAAAGAGCCCCAAGAGGGCCCAAAGAGGCTCCCAGGGGGCCCCAAGAGGCCCTCAGGAGAGCCCCAAAAGGCGGCCAAAGGCTTCCCAAGGCGCCCATATAGACGGCCACAAGGGCCCCTAGACGGCCCGGAGTTGCCCCAGAAGGGCTCCCGAAGGGCTCCAAAAGGGCCCCAAGAAGACCCGACGGGGCGTCGGCGGCTAGGCATGGGTCGTCTGCGCTGGCGAAAGGAGCTAACTAAAAGGGGGTACCGTTGTTGAGAATTGGCCCACATACAACAGCGGGAAGAGGGGGCAGAGGAGGAATTGGGTACGCACACATTTAGTTGATATCCTAAGGGCCGCCTCCGACGGCGAGCCGCCGCGCAAGGGGGCACGACGCCACTCATGTTGACTTCGGCATCGCGGCCGAGTGCTGGGAGGCGGCGGCCGAGAGGTAGAGTTGTTCCCGATCTTCGACGGCTACAGCGTGTCTTCGACTGCGGACATCGACAGGCGCAACGTTCTCCACAGGAGCCGCCGAGACGAGGCAGCGAAGGTCAACGCCGCCTACGCCGAGGCACGCCAGCGCAGAAGCGGGCCCAGTACGTGAGCAGATCTCTCGGCGACAGGTCCGGGTCGCGCCTCCCGAGGGCAACTCCAGGTCAACCCCACCTCAAGGGACCCAGAGGCGGCATCGCGGCAGTCGCTCGGCAAGCTCCTGCGACGGCTGACAGCCCTCGTAAAGAACGGCAAGGACCCCGGTGCATCGAAGGAGTACAGGATGGTCCACTACAAGGTAAACCAGATCGCGACGGGCGATCTGGATACCAACCACGTCGGCCGCAAGGCGGACCTCGACACCATCGAGGAATGGAAGGCCGGCACGGTGAAGAAGGACTTATGCGACTTCGACGACCTGTACGACCTCGCGCCACCACCGAGACCCTGCGCAGCAAGTCAACGTCGAGGGCGGCTGCCAGGTCCATGAAGTACACCGAGTGGGCCAAGACGGTGTGGAAGGATGCACATGGCAAGCTCCAGTCTGGTCAAAGAGCTGGCTCAAGCCAGACTGGCGGAGGCCGCGGAGGGAGACACGGTCGTCGACCCTCAGCTCATCATGCAAGCGTGATCTGGAACAAGATCAGGGCTCCGATCACTAACCAGTGGCCCCAAGAGATGGACGAGTTCCGTGGCACTGCCATCAAGGGACAAAACGCCCTCGGGGCGGACGATCATCAGAACGCCCCTCGATGAGGCATGCGCCGAAAACTGCATAGGGTGCACCACGCTGCTCATGGAAATCGAGAAGTTGTACGACGGCGTCAATTTGTAGCGCATCCTCCAGGCCACCATCGACCAGAACTTCACAGCGGTCGGCTTCCCAACTGGAGGTCGAGATCTTCTTGACATGCACGGCGTGACCAGCGGTGTCATCGAGGCGCACCGCTCGCAAGCAGCGGGCAGCGCCAATGGTGGAGAATTGGCTGAAATCTACTTGGGGCCACTACTGTCACGGGCCCGGACCTACCACGACATGGCTGGCCTCCGGAGCTTCGTCGACGACACAGTTGCGCATGCACGAGGACTCGACGGGGTGAGGGTGCCAACGGCCGCTGGAGCCGGTGCCGAAGTGCGCGAGGGCACGCAGCGGGCGGAGGCCAAGAGATCGCCACAGGCGAACATCGTCCAGCTTGCGACTGGGGCAGAGGGCACCGCGCCCAGGTCGCCCACCACCCCGCCGCCCTTGGCGTCGACGCGGCGGCGGGGCAGCGCATGGCTCCCACGAAGGCCAGGGCCAGGGGCCGCCGAGGCGAAGGGCAGGTCGGGGCGCCCTCTGGCCAGGATGCGCAGCCCCACCTCCTCGGGCGACCGGCGACCCGGATGCGGCCCCGACTCGGCGCAGAGAGATCCTCACGGACTCGCTCCGCTTCTGGCCCGCAGGCTCGCAGTACCCCGCGAGGACCAAGCAGGCGTGGGCTCGCGGGCACTGAAAGACCGCACACGAGGGCAGCAGGCGGTGGAAGAAGGTCGTTGGCCCGACCGGCGTAGCGCAGGCCGTTCTCACCGATGCCGACTGTGACTCCCGCACCTCCTGCACCTGAACGGAAGAGGCGAACCGCGGTGAGACCGAGGCCCAGCAGCGGAACATCCCGGGCAGCGCCGACCCTACTGAGAGAGCAGGAAGTTGGAGGTCTGGAAATTGGCACCAACACCAACACAGGGGTTTGCCTGCACAGGGGGAAGAAGATCCTCGATTTCGGTGGTGGTGATATTTCGGCCACCTCGGAAGCCTGAATGTTACCACCATCAGCGAGATCGGGATCTCCTTCCCTCGGTGGAGGCACACCGCCGATATTGTTGGTGTCAACCTCCAGGCCAGCGAGGAAGGAGGCCGACCTGTCTCAGTTGGCCCGCGAGCTCTGCCTGACTGACATCGGCCTGGAGGCCGTCCCAAGGCGGGGCGCGCGGCGGAGCCTCGGCTCCATCCGCCACGCCTTCTGCCACGCGTTCTCTCGCGCAGCTTACCCTCACAGCATAAGCTGTGCGGTCCACGCGCTCCTGGGCTCCATCCGCGAGGGCCTCTGAAAGCACGCGGCCGAGCCGGTCTGCGGGGAGGGATCGACAGGGGCTGGGCGCGGCCCCCTCTCGGGTGGTCCGCCGCGCGCAGGCCAAGCTCAGAACGAGGGACATGCGTGATAGGGTGGGACTGGCACAGGGGGGAAACGTCGACCTGGAATCGGCGATACATCGCGGATTGATCGGCGATAGGCCCCCGATAGCGAATCCCCACGTTCCTGGGCGGGGTGCGGCCCATCGGGGCCCATCAGAGATGAGTGGGCGATTGGGGGTCGATGCATTCCCCCCTATGCCGATCCTCCCTTATCGTTGCCACCGACCAGTGGGCCCTCGGCCTCTGCGTCGTGGCCGGTGGGAGACCGTCGCAGCGGCGCCTCGCCGACGCCGATATGGCGGCACCGGGCTCACGTGCCCGAGGTGGACGGAAAGGAGGCGATCTCCCACGGAGCTCGTGCAAAACGGAATGACAAGGCGACGAGCACCGCACGAGGACAGGGACGAGGAGGAGGAGGAGGAGGAGGAGGAGGAGAAGGAGGAGGACGCGGACGAGGAGGACGCGGAGGAGGAGGAGGATGAGGCGGAAGAGGAGGAGGAGGAGGAGGAGGAAGAGGAGGAAGAGGAGGAAGAGGAGGAGGAGGAGGAGGAGGAGGAGGAGGAGGAGGGAGGAGGATGGGGGAGGAGTCCTCCGACGCCCTCTTGTGTGTTCCGCCCCCGCAG